AGAAGCTTGTGGCAAAAACACAGAGGCAATAGTGTCCAACAAAGACATCTCAAGACCCCCAAAAAATGCCCCTGGAGATCCTCCCAAAAGACCCCTCCAGGGAGACCTCATTGCGGCCTTCCAGTACTTGAAGGGAGCCTATAAACAGGAGGAGGAAAGTTTACGAGGGTGGATAGTGACAGGAAAAGGGAGAATGGTTTTAAACTGAGACAGAGGAGGTTTAGGTTGGATATTAAGAGGAAGTTTTTTACACAGAGGGTGGTGAGGCACTGTTACAGGTTGCCCAAGGAGGCTGTGGATGCCCCATCCCTGCAGGCATTCAAGGCCAGGCTGGATGTGGCTCTGGGCAGCCTGGTCTGCTGGTTGGTGACCCTGCACACAGCAGGGGGTTGGAACTGGATGAGCACTGTGGTCCTTTTCAACCCAGGCCATTCTCTATCCCCAGGAGGTGCCTCCAGACCCCCAGAGGCCACCTGGGTCCCCAAACAGCACCTCGAGGTCTCCAAAAGGACATTCGAAGCCCCCCAAGGCCCCCAAAGGCCCCATCATGGCCACCGCTTTGCACTTCAGCCCAAAGCAGGCCCCAAATCCTGCAGCAACCCCAAAACCACCGCTTATGGCAACACCACATTCCTCAGCACAAAACCACCACGGATCTTCCACGCTTTTTCTTTTAAATCGAGGCTAATTACTGCATTGTGCACCAACTCCAAGGGGCCCAGCAACCCCCCCCCGGTCACCTCCACACAACCTTGGGCTCGCAGACACCCCACCGGGTCCGGGCTCAGCCCGTTCTGCCCCCCAGGGCAATGTAACGACCTTTCAGCTCGACGCACGCGCCCCTCCCGGGACCCCCATCTCCCTCCTCAAACCCTCCCCGGTCTCGAACCCGCGACCCCACAGTCTCACATCGCCCCCCCGTCCTCGCAGCGCCACAGGGGCACGGCGGGACGCTCCAATCCCTGCCCGCCGCGGGAGCCGCCGCGAGGCGGGGCGCTGCGGTTCTGAGTGACAGCGGCGTGGGCCAATGGGAGGCAGAGCGAGGACCAATCAGCGCAGCGCCGGAGGCAAAGGGGGTGAAAATGGGGCGGCGGGGGGCTGGGGGCTTATCTCTCGGGGAGGGGGCCCGACGCCGCTCCCGTGAAAGACCGCTCCCACCACCATGTCCGTGCCCTTCCCGCAGTCGGTACCTGCTCGAAGCGGGGCTTCCCCAGCTGGAAGGGGGGATAGTCCGCCGGCTCCGCCATCCCCTTCGCGCGCTGCGGGCGCCACTTTAAACAGCCTCCCCCGCCGCCGGGCCCGCCCCTTGCGGCGCCGCCTCTCTGATTGGCCACGGCCCTCCGCAGCTCCCGCAGGGCTCGATGGGAAATGTAGTGCTCACCCGGAGTCTGCGCGGCCGGCGGCGAAAGGGACGCTGGGATAGGCGGCCCGCTCCCGCCGGCCAAAGGGAGCGCGCGGCGGCGAGGGGCAGCATGGGAGATGGAGTCCTCAGGGGGGCGGCGCGCGGGGCACGATGGGAGGGGTAGTTTGGCGGGAAGCTGAGGGGGAGCCCTGAGGGGAGAGGGCCAGGACACAGGGGCAGCATGGGGCCCTCAGAGCAGCCGTCGGGTTTGGATATACACAGCGTGCCCTTCTCCTGTCTCATCAGCTTCCATCGCCTTCCACGCTTTCTGAGAAAGAACAGTTTAATTTAGCAACTAACGAGAGTATCGGAGGCAACACGCCATGTCTCCCTGGCAGAAACATCTTCTTACTGCCCTAAAAGCATATGTGTATCTCACTCGCAGTTCATGTTTCTGACCCATTCACCTCAGTGTTCCTTCTTTTTTCTACACGAATGCTGTTGCTTCTGTGACGGAACTGCCATAAGGCACAGGGCAGTGAAGGAGTGTGACAGAGACAGCAGCATTCACATCAGCTCTGTACAAATGACCACAGCAAGCTGAAAGCTCCTAAAACCCTCGTGTTTCATCCTTTCCTCGTGGAAATACATATTTTTACGCTGACAGGCAGTTAACAATTGCTTTTAACCATTACAATCATGTCGTTCCTTCCAACCAACAAGAGCTCACGGCATCCAGCATCACCTCCCCTTCCACCCTTGCTCTGCATCACTCTGTGATGGCACAAACATGTGCCTCCCAGGAACGGACAAGGAGAAGCATACAACCATGGAATCAGCTGGAAAAGACCTCTAAGATCACCAAACCCAACCCCAACCCAACCCCACTATGCCCACTGACCACGTCCCCCTGTAGGGCACTCCTACCCTCAGGCAGACATCCTGACTTGGGCTGAGGGAGCACTCAATCCCTCACGGTGAGCAAATCCCCGCTCCCACAACGAGTTCTGCTGACTGGACTGTACCCCCTGCTGCCCTCGTACCTTGTCCTCAGAGTTAATGGTTTGCTTCTTTTAATTAAGTCCAGTTGCAGTGCAGGCTGAGCACATGTTGCCTACAAGCTTCCACGGGGCTTAAGCCTCCTGACCCCACAAGACACTGCTGCCCTTCTCACCCCCTCCTCGTGGTGTGATGTCCCCCTTATCTCAAAGAATAGTAAGTCATTAGGGTCTGCTTTTCTTTGGGCAGTCTGACCCTGCTCGGAGCCCTAATACCATCTTAAAAGGGGAAAAACATCCTGTTGCTACAAGTAATATTTCATAAGGCAACTTAGCCTTTTCTAAAGGTTTCATCCTGTGCTTCAGAAAAGTTAAACTCAGGAAAGGTGAGGGAACTGGTCTCGTTTAGCTTGGAGAAGAGAAGGCTCTGGGGAGACCTCATTGTGGCCTTCCAACATTGAAGGGAGCATAAAAACAGGAAGAGGAACAGCTATTTATGAGGGTGGATAGTGACAGGACAAGGGGGAATGGTTTTAAACTGAGACAGGGGAAGTTTAGGTTGGATATGAGGAGGAAGTTTTTAACCCAGAGGGTGGTGAGGCACTGTTACAGGTTGCCCAAGGAGGCTGTGGATGCCCCATCCCTGCAGGCATCCAAGGCCAGGCTGGATGTGGCTCTGGGCAGCCTGGTCTGCTGGTTGGTGACCTGCACATAGCAGGGGGTTGAAAACGTGATCATTGTGGTCCTTTTCAACCCAGGCCATTCTATGATTCTATGAAAAGCATTAGGGCTCTGCAGTAAGTATGGTTTATAACCCAAATCTCTCCATTTCTATACCAGGGAAACCCCCCTCCCTCCCATTGCTGTTCGAGCCAGATAATTGATACGATCCCTAATGTTGACACACTAAATGTTTTATAACAACAGAGGGGAGAGAATCTGTTTATCTAAAACCACATTTGGAGTGACATAAGACTATCACTTTTTTGGTTAAATACCAGAAAGAATATCAATTCTTTGGCTGATATCAATCTTACCAGATCCATTCAGACTGACAAGTCGCGTTTCAGTGGCATGGGGAAGAGAGGAGGAGGGGGGGGGGAGGGTTCCTTCCCTAGATCAGCAACTGTTAACTCAATATTGGTATTTATTTCCATTTTGGCAGGGGGAGGAACAAAACCTTCAGCTACAGAGCAAACTTGTCTGGAACCCAAGTGAGATTTGGGGTCTGACGGCCGCCTCGCACGTGACAGCTGGGTGCGGAGCTGGGCTGCCTGCTGGCTCTGGGAGAAAGTTGCACGAACGCTTCTTGTCGGCTTCCATCTGCAAAGCCAGATTTGAAGAAAACTTGCGTCGGGCTGCACAACTCAGGCTTCAAACAACAAACCCAGCCAGCTCTTCTTCTTTGGGCTGACGGTTGGACTTGGTGAGTTTTGCGCTCTTTTCCAATCTTTGTGATTCTGTGGCTGTATAATTCTATGATTCCTGTAGGAATGAGGCTTATTTGCATAAGTCCCAACTCAACGTTGAAGCTTTCAAGCAGGCAGAGATTCAGCATCATCCTGTCAGTTTCAGCAGCACTAAAGCCTTAAAATCTCTTTTTTTTTTTTTTGGACTTGACAGCCTCCAACAACCCCACCTTCTAATTACAGCCACTCTGCTCCGTGCGCTCCGCCATCTGCAGAACCCCATCTAACCTCATCATTCCAGGCTGCCTTTACTCAGCACAGCCTTTCAGGGGTCGCAGCTCATTGCCCTGACCCTGCACAGCGCCGTGCTGAGCATTTCCTCGGCTCCCAGGGCTAACATGATCCCTGGACAGGTGCTGAGCTACATAACGGCTTGTGGTCTGGCAGGAGGAAAAACAAACTGGGATTAGAGCTAACACAACTCTCCTGTCACTGACAGCAAAGTCATTTACCGAAGCTTAAGGGGAGTTAATTTATTTTTTTTTTTCCTGAAGGAAAAGGCATGAATGAAGAAAAAAAAAAAAAGAAAAAAAAGCAGACTTTGAGAAGGCAAACAGCTGAGTGATAAAACAGGTGGGTGGGATTAGGGCAGAGAAGCTAGAGGCAAAGGTCTGGGCTGCGGATCAGCCCTCTGCCAAGCAAAGAAACATAAGCACCCAGTACCCCAGAGCAGTGGGTAAAAGCATGGCGCAAAGCCGTGCTGCCTCCCTGTGCACCGAGGCTCTGAGCTGTGCGGTGCCTCCGATGCAACGTGAGCTCACTTTTCTCCCCCAGCACCACACGGTCAGGGGCTCTGTCCTCTCCTCAGCTGCTGTTTTCCCCACAAATCCTCAGGAATGCAATCACAACTTTCCTGCTCACACTACCAAAGGACCAAGCCAGGAGCAAACAGTGGAGCTGCAGACCTGAACCCCCAGGGCAGCTCTGTGGCACACGCAAGAAAGCTTGCAGGGGCTCACACCCCTCAGCTCACGCAGGGGCAATATTCAGAGATGAACTCAAGCTCATCCTGCAGCAACAACACCCCCCAGAACCCCCGCGTGGCAGCGGGTGCTTTGGGACTAATAATGGTATGTATCAGCGTGGAGAAGTTGGGCACCGTCATCCTCCTTCAGAAAATAAACAGATAAATGTCACTCACTGTCCAAGTGCTATCAGCACAGACGCTGTTGTCAATAAATCAGAAGTATCTAGGAACAGCTTGAACAACTTTTATTTTTTTTTTTTTTAAAGTGCTTAAAATGTAAATAACAAGCTCTCTTTATAAACATTAGTTGCAAACTATTAAAACATGAAACACACAGAACCCACCTCCCGCGTACGCGAAGTACAGGGAATCAACAACTCCAAAACCCCCAAACACTGAGCTCTCTGGTTTTGGGGTGGTTTTCCACCCCACGTTTATGACACAGCTGTTCCTTCACAGACAAGGCATATGGCTGGGTCTACATCACACTTCGGCATCCACATCCCTTCAGGTTTGTTCCAGTTTAAGGATATACCTCAGCTGCTCTTCTGTCCCATCTTTTTGGGACAGAAGAGGCAGCAAAGACAAAAATCAATCACTTGGCCAGAGTTCTTTAACAGCAAGAAAGCCAGTTGCGGGCTGACAACAAAAGCAGAGCAGATGAGAGCAACAGTGCCCTGCAGAAAACCCAAACAGTCTGAACGTGGAAAGAGAAGGACAGAAAAGGGTGGAAAAGGCAAAAGACAGAATTATTGCTGTGGCTGTGTTTAAAACAGAACCCACCAAAAGCTGCTGCTGGCCCAGGCAGCTTCCTTCACATCCTTCTGTCTGCTCATTCTGCACAGAGCAGTGCAGCTCTGGGTGCTGCCCTGCACAGAGAGCAGTGCTGCTCACCTCCCTTTGGAAGATAATCACTAAGCATGGATTTGGAACGTAACTGGACAACATTTCCCCCAGTTATTCTTCAAAGCAGCTAAGTCCTCTGGTTACACACTCTGGCTACAGCACTGTGAGTGGTGTAAAACGCTTGCTTTACCGCAGAGAATAAAAACTGGGGAGGGTGGGGAGAGGAACATTCTCAGAGTAGTGAGGTGGAGAAACAAAGAAAAGGCAAAAGCACCTTTCAGATGCCTTCTCCTAAACATTTATAGGTACCTCTGGACTTCCAAACGCTCTGACAGACATGAAACGTGATAGCAGCCTTGGCTCCCCACCACTTGCTTCTCTCCATAGCCCCGTGAGCCGCAGGCGGCAGAAAGAAGCACGTATTGCTGAAGGGGTCCTGACACGGCCCTCTGGAGCTCTGAGATCAACTTCAAGATATAAAGTGCAAAACATTCAAGCTTTGGGAGAAGAGGCAGAGCCACCTAAGGCAGAGAGGGGCATACGGAGGCGGTTAGATGCAATGGAAGAGGAGGAGGAGAGATGGGGAGGTGTAGTGAGCTTGGCACTTGTGTGTGGGGAGCACCTGTAATGCCTGTCACTGAAACCCAAGGAAACAGCTGATTGTCAGGCAGCAGCGAGCCAGGATGGCCACTGCAGGACACACATCTCACACCAGAAATTGAAGTTCCTTTCATCTGAGACACACAGAGGGAGGAGGAACATAAAGATGCAGGTAGAGAGGTGCAAAACCCCAATTAGTTCCCTATTAGGGACAAGCACAGGTGGGAACTAATGGCTCATGGCTGCTATCTTCCAGGACAACAAATCCTCCTGTTAATACAACAGTCTGCAAGCTAGACATGACCGAATATTGTCACTAGCAGAGATGCCAAATCTCCTTTTAAGCTGATACCTCTTACTTTTGTCAGCCTCAGGCTTTGAGTGTGACCCAATAGTGCCTTTATCCAGCTGCATCTGGTCTTGTAATATCTGCCACACCTTCCCTCATTATCACCTCCTCTATCTACATCTGCCATATCATGGAGCTCTCCACGCAGCACTTCTGTCAAAGACCAAAACAAATTTTGCCCATAGGGATGGGAAGGCTCTGCTGACTGCTTTAAAACATAGACTCACCTAGTTCAAATTAGCAGGCAAGCAGAACAGGAAGCTGGCCAAGCTGTGTCAGCTGAGAATTGAATTTCAGAGCCTTTTCTCATAGGGAACTGGCATTGTTCTATTGCAAAAGGCACAATTTCTCAGTCATGGTGTTAAGTTGAAGTAAGGAAGGAGAAAAGAACACAAAGGTTTAAAATAAATCCTGTAACTTTTGGATATCTGCAGCAGAGAGAAGATGCCCTACGTGCTGATACAGCTCAAGTCCCACACCAGCTGATCCTCTGCCTGCACGGGCACCTTCCAGCCAAAACACTGACACAAGGAGAGGTTTATATGCCCTCCCCCAGCACCTCCAAACCAGAAGCTGCGCTGTGCTGCAACGTGGCCGGGAGCAGCGCCCAGCAACCCCACACCAGCACCATCTATTACATCAAGCAACACAGAGGCCTTCATACAGTCACTCCAAGGTAGCAAGAAGCAGTCAACTCCCGAGAGAGCTGGCCTAGCATTTCTAAGGGTGGGCCCAAGCTGCCAGAGACCTGATGCTGGCGTGAGGTGTGATACAATTAATTTTAGCTGTTCTGGCACTAATACTGACTTGAAAGTGATCCACGCTGATTACTGGATTGCTAGCTTTCACAGAATGTGGTTTGCATTTGTGTTTGGTGGATGTCTGACCTAATGGGACATCATGCATAGAGGTGGCTGGGCAGCCAGACATCCTTCTTTGCACACTAGCTTCGGTCTGTATGGCGCTTTCCTGTTGCATTGATAATGACAACACAAAGTCAACTACAGGGGGCTGCCAGTGGAAAGCAATTCTTGCCGGTGCAGAAAAGAGGAAGTATAATACTGATCAGAAAATCCAGCTGTGGTTTCTGCATACAGGAGTATCCCAGGCACAGCCCACCTGGTGATGGGTTGGGTGCCGTGCAAGATCTCCTGCAGCACTGATGGTGCACAAACCATCACCGGCCCTTCTCTACGAGTTCAGTTTCGGGCTGGGTCTCTAAGGCAGCGTCACAACCCTGCCTGCATGCAGAGAAGGAACCAGCACAGCTCACAATCAGGCAGTGATGTTGGCTTGAGTCTTTGCAGCCTCTGACTGCAGCACTGTGGCTTTGTGTACTGCCTCTTACTGCACCGGGTACTGACACAAAGAGGAGTCAGCTGTTCAGAGCCTTCCTTTGTGGGTGCAACATACGGGGCAGGAAGGGAAGGAGGCATCCAGCAGCAGCCCCTTCCCCAGCTGCCCTGCTGAGCAGACTTACTGGACAGTAACGTGCTGGTAGACTCCTACTGAATTTAGGCATCCCCGATTTTGTCAGCCAGTTTAACGCTGCCCATCAGCCAGAGCACACCATTTCAGAGAAGAGCCTGTGGAAGAGTGTAGGCAGAAGAGCAGCAGTAGCAGGATGAAGACAAGGGCGAGGTGCCTGGTTTCCAGCTCCCAGATGTTCATGGACCACTTAAAGCATTGGTATTGGATGAGTGCCTGAGAAGATGCTACTTGGTTATGACAGGAACCTCAGGAAGCATCTGCTTCCTGAGGAAGGCTCTGCTCCTCCCCATAGGGTGGATGACAGCCCACCACCCTACAGTTCCCTGGAGCCAGAGCTGGAATAAGCTTAGGTTGGGAAGGAGCAGATAACCATTCCTGCTTATCTCTGCGAACAGAAGCCACTGGAGAAGCCCTCTTTAAGAGGAGGGGGGAGTGCAGGGATGTTTGCAGCGTGTTTACTGGAAGTGCTTTAGGCAAGTGATGCTGGTCTCTGCCTGGAGGTTACTTGGTCTTGGCTTCCCCCAGCGGGATCTGGAGGAGCGTGGGAGACTGCTCCATGATGCGCACCAGCAGCTGGTCAATGTAGTTCTCCAGTTCCTGGATGTGCTCCTCCTTCTTACTCAGCTCCTTCTCTCTCTGCAGTAGGAGCTGGATGAGTTCATCGTGGGTCAAATGATAATACTTGGCTGATTGGTCCAACACGTTGGGATCCTGCAGCAGAAACCAAGGAGAACGTTCAGCAAGTCGAATGAAAAGCACTGCTCCCTTCACTCCTGTCAGCATTTGCAAGGTGCAGCAATGCACCAAATACCAAAGCATTCAGTGCTTACTACATCTGTTGCCTCCAAATCCCACCTGATAAACCCAGAACATCCTGCATTACAAAGCAGCTTTCCCACGTGGCCACTTCGTTGCACAAAAACCTGGGAGAGGGAACAACTGTCCAGACATGCAGCCACTGCAGCCTGGATGCACTCCATGGAGCTAGAGGTGACCACAGAGCCCTCCCACAAAGTAGATTAATAAACAGGGTCTCCCCAAAAACCATTTCACCAAATCTCAACAGCTGAAAGCTAAAGGCACAGAGACAACAGAACCCACTGGCCTGCCATAACAAGACCTGCCATTAGCTGCTTACCCAGTCCTCCAGCCAAGATGACAGGGAAAGAATGGAATTAAGTGCTAAAAGATCCCTCAGGATGAAAGCCCTGGGGAGCTTGGTCACCCTATGGCAAGACCCCATCCCACATCCTCCACCACCATTTTGTCTCCACCTCCAACCTCACGAGCAGGTGGGAAGCCAGCCCTCACCCAGCAATTGGCTCCTACCTTTACCTTCTTTGGGTCTGTTTTCTCCAGGTGTGACGAGGGGGCCACAGGCTGAACGCTGCCCGTGGTGACTGTTTTCAGCTTCTCCAGGCCATTGCTCAGCGCTGTGGTCAAGCTGGATTTGTTCTGCTGCTTCTTCTCACTGGAGACCTCCTGCACTGCAGCACTGATGGGTTTCACCGGGTGAGGACTGAGGAGAACAAGGTTGGATAATTAATGCCCTGCTAAGCTTTAAAGCAATTGGCTGTCCCTATGGCTTTTAGGGGTTTGGGACCCACTTATCAAATTCAGTCAGCTTCACGTAGTTAAATTGTGTTTGCATTGCTCAAAAACTGCTTTCTCCACAGAGAGAAGAAACAACGCCTTGCACGGTAACCAGCCAGAGATGGGATCTGCACAGTCACAGTACCTCAACCAAGCACGTGTCCAAGGGGCTCAAAAGCCCCATACACATGCTGTGCTGCTCAGGCCACGCCAAGAGTGCTGTGGGTCGAAACTCCTGGCTGCCAGGAGTGCTTTTCAGCATGATGGAAAGAGAAGTGACCTGATGCTACCTTCCTGCAGGAGCTGCATGCTGTACTGAAAGACCTTAAAATGCGATCAAGATCTCCACGAAGCCTCGACGCTCATCAGGTGCAGCGGGCACCCTGGGAAGGCTTCTCGTGCAGAACCACTGCAGGGGAAAGAGATGCTGTGCTCACAGGAGCTCAGCTCTGAAGAAAAAAAGGCAAGCACAGCCTCTATTCACACTCAAGGACTTCAGGAATCAGTGGAAGGAAGAACACTCACTTGATCCATGAGCTGCCATCCAGGCTGACAGATCTCTCTAAAGCCCAGCTTGTGCTGTAACCACGTGTCCGCAGTTCCTAAAGCAGAGCAGTGGCTCTGAGCCCCACTCCAAGCTGACCGGACAGAGGTAGAAGCACTGCATACAGCATCAGCTGGATGGCCCAAGTCCAAGGCTGGCATCCTTGTGCCTTGCTAGCAGTGACAGATGAGGATGTGCAACCTCCCCATCATGCGGGCAGGGAGAAGTTTTCTTCATATCTAAAACAACAATGCCTCTCTCCTGCTTCCCTTTTCAGAGAGGACAGCAGTACCAACCAGCTCCGATACCCTGCGCAGGAGGCACCCAGATGCACAAAGTCCAGATGGATGCGCTGAGACACCGAACCTCCTTCCATCCACCAGCTGATGGCTGCCAACTTGAAAGCAGAATTAATCGCTCACACCAGCAGACTGCTCAATCCACCACTGTGCCTCCAAGTGACCGTAGATCTACGATGAAAATTCATGCCTTTGAGATGAAACATCTCCCAGATGAAGGAGGCACAGCCCTGGCACTTCTCCTTCCACCCATCTCCTGAGCAAACCTTGCTGTGTCACAGCACTGCTCCCAGTGATGCTCCCAAGGTGACTGCTGAGTGTAGTAAAAATCAGGGGGGAATTTCTCTACAGCAGCTTAGGAATTAAGTCCTTTTATCTTCCTATTAAAATGCTTCTCACAGACAGCAAGGCAACAAAGGGCAAATGCAGGGCAGATGCAGCACGCAGCACCTGGGGGCCAGCCCTGCTTGCAGAAGGGCCTTACAGAAGGAAAGGGGATGAACTATCCCCAGTCTATTTCTGGATGTGGCAAACCACTCTCTGACACTGAGCTCTCCACAAGAACTACATTCAAATTGCAAAGACTGGCACACGATTTCACCTAAAACCTCATTTTGAGACAAAGACAATTCTGCTGCCCTCTCACTGCGCATGGCAGTGATATGACCTCAGGACCAGCACTGCTCCCAACCCTGCCACATAAACCCACCACAGTTCATCACACACCAGCTCCTTCTTTATCTGATGGAGGAGAACAACACTTCTGTCCCAGCTAAACCTTTTAGCCTGCTCTAGGTTTGAAGCCTTCCTTTTTTCCTTCCACTTCTTTCATGCCAAATCTTTTCCTACGTGCCACTGGCTGTTCTAGCAGGAGATGCATCTAGCAAAGTGCCGTCATGGGGACCAGAAAAATGGCCCTTCCACATAGAATCATAGAATCATAAGGTTGGAAATGACCTACAAGATCATCCACTCCAGCTGTCCTCCCATCACCACTGCCACCACAAGCACTAAACCAGATCTTGTAGCTCCTCATCCAGACGCCTCCTGAACGCTGCCAGGGACGGCGACTCCACCACCTCCCCTGGGCAGCCATTGCAGTGCCTGAGCACCCCCTGAGAGAAACAGTTCTTCCTTATGTCTAACCTAAACCTCCTCTGGTACAACTTGCAGTCATTTCCTCGGGTCCTGTTCGTTGCCTAGGAGAAGAGGCCAAACCCCTCCTCATCACAGCCTCCCTTTAGGAAGTTGTGGAATGCAGTGAGGTCTCCCCTGAGCCTCCTCTTCTCTACACTGAACAATCCCAGCTCCCTCAGCGGCTCCTCATAAGGTTTGTGCTCCTGACCCTCACCAGTTTCACTGCCCTTTTCAGGGCACATTCCAGGGCCTCAATGTCTTTTTTGCAGTGAGGAGCCCAAAACTGAACACAGCACTTGAGGTGCAGCCTCGCCAGAGCTGAGTACAGGGGATGCTCACCTCCCTGCTCTGCTGGCCACGCTATTTCTAATGCAGGCCAGGATGCCGTTGGCCCTCTCGGCCACCTGGGCTCACTGTGGGCTCATGTTCACAGCTGAGCATCAACCAACACCCCCAGGTCCTTTTCTTCTTCACCTTGCCTCTATGCCCCCATGACAATTACTGGCACCTCCCCAAGAGGCTCAGGTTGGATATTAGGAAAAATATCTTCTCCAAAAAAGCGGTCAGGCACTGACACAGCTGCAAGGGAGTGAAGGGGGGGGGGTCACCATCCCTGGGGGTGTCCCAGAACTGTGGGGATGTGGCACTGAGGGACGTGGTTATGGGCACCGTGGGATGGACTGGGGTTGGACTTGGGATCTTAGAGGTCTTTTCCAACCTTAGGGATCTTATGATTTCATGATTCAGTGCCTTCCACAGATACAACAGTAACTCTTCCAAGGTCCTTGAATCCCAGCAGCAGGTATCCAAAGCAACCACATTTCACACGTAGAGGAACCAGAGCAGAGATGTTCCAGGACTTGTCAGACATGTCACACGACAAAGGCCAGCACTTAAGTGATGACCAGCTCTTAGATCCAAGCCCACTTCCTTCCCACAAGCCAGCCAGGCCTTGGGTGGATGCACAGTCCAAAAGTAGGCATGGTGGTGACAGGCTGACAGTTGGACTTGGTCATCCTAGAGGTCTTTTCCAACCTTTAATGATTCTATGACTCTACTTACAGAGAATCCTGGGATTACACTCTGCTCGTTGCCTAATTTTACCCTTTGGGATAGCAGGACACTTCTCTTTCCATGAAACATTAACAATGATCTGGCTATCTGCAGATTTTGACCAAGGTTATCTGTCAGAGAATGAATAACCCAGTTAAGAAGGATTAAAAAACCTGACTCAGTAAAAGGAATCAGAGTACACAGAGTTACCACACGCCATGCCCTAAACACTGCTTCTTTGCTTCACTGCATTCCTACAGCAAAAGATGGACCTGGAAGGAGGAAATAAACCTTTCTTTCTTCTGACCCACCACCATAACGTTTCCTTGCCATCACCCTGGAGGTGAAGTCCCAGGGGCACCTTGGCAGAATGGAATGGAGAATGGCGTTTTGACACCGCCCTGGTGAAACTTTTGGCTACAGAGAGAAGAAAGTTTTTAGTACCTGGTGGTTGTTGAAAAAACAAAGAAAGAAACCAAAGCTGAATTAATGAAAAGGGAAGGGAATAGCTGTGCACATGCCACGAGGGGACTCACGAGAGCATTAACAGCTGGAAGCTCTCCTGGCAGCCATGGAAGAGGCACCTATTTTGCAAGCACAGGGAAGATGATGCAGCCAAAGTTTAGCACTGGATGCAATTTTGTCACGGCTGGGTTCTCCCTGGGGCAGATCTTGGATGTGTCAAACCTTTTACCCTCATTTAGAGTTAAGAGGGGACACCAGTGGCTCTTCCCCACTGTGATCCAAGAGAGCCAAGGCTTCCAGCTGCCCAGGCAGGACTCTCAGGGAGCACAGTTACCATTCAGCATGGGAAGGTGAGGAGAGGACCTTCGGCACAGTGCAGAGCATCCTCCTCAGAGCCAGCACGGCCAGAGCTGAGGTCCCTGATCAGAGCAGAAGGGAGACAGGGTTAAGCCTCTACCAAATACACACCCTTCACACCTTCCCCGGAGCGCTCACCTGGTCGTCTGCTGGAAAAAGGGCTTCTCAGCTGGCTGTGTCTCCCTGGGCAAAACCACGAGTGCTGAAGCTTGTGTGTCACCGGACTGCGGCAAAGGGCAGGGCTGGGCTGCGGCATGGCTGGTCACGGCAGGGGAGGGGAAATCAAACTGCTCGGGGTTAGTCACAGCCGCGGGGAAAGGGGTGGAGAAGGCCAAGGGCTGGCTGTCATGCAGGGAAGGATTGCCTAGCGGGTCCCCTGGGGGGTTAGTGGGCTGGAAGCCTTGTTGAAGGGCTTCCCCATGGAGCTGGGGGGAGCTGAAGCCCTGAGCGAACCTTTCAGGCAGCACAGCCTGGACGGGAAGGGTGCTTGCTGGCTTTTCCACAAAGGGATTTGCGGGGGCAATAGGGCTGACTGCCAGAGCAAAGGGATTGCCTGGGCTTGCAGCATCCTGCTCGCTCCTCTCCTCCGTTCTATCTGGCTTCCAGAACTCCGCCTTCTTGAAGTCTATCCCTGCAGGCGGCCAGCCCTGCTCTGCCCGATGGGGACAGCCCACCGCCGGCCCCTCACCCTGGTCCTGCTCCGGCGCTAACCTGTGCGGGCGGCCCAATGCCTCCTGCTCCTCCAGTGCAGTCCAGAAGGTCTCGGGTTGGCCTGAGTCCGGCCTGGGCGACACACCAAGCTCCTCAGGGCATTCCTCCTGCTCTGGGGCTATTGATGGCTCTGCGCTGAGGCTGAGCTGTGACACAGGAGACAAAGCCGGCTGACTCCAGCTCCCTGCAGCACCCGATGGGGTGAGCTCATCCACGGAGAACCTGGAGGGACAGGTCTCAAAGTGTTCGGCCGCATCTGTCCCATTCATCTCCAGTGGCTCTTCTCCTAAAGCGTCCCCTCCGGCCTCCACGTCAGCAGCATCCTCACGCACAGCCATGTGAGGTGCTGGGACAGCTGTGTCACCGCTCGGATGGCTCCGTGGTTGCTCCCGGCCCTCCTCACCTTCCTGCTGCTCCTCCCCACCTCGCTGCCTTGCCGTTGTGTCACTAGCATTGTTCTCATCCTCCCCTCTGCCACACACGGCCGCAAACCACCGCGGAGGTTTGGGAGGTGGCATGACCTCCTCCTTCCCTCGCACACCCGTCCACATTGTGAGGACAGCATCAGAGCCCATCTTCACATGGCCCTCGCCAGCTTCCAGCCGCATGCTGGCCTGCAGCCGGTACACCGAGCTCCTGATGTCAAACATCTCCCCGCCATCATCCCGCAGCTCCTTCCCCACACCTGGAGCCACGGGGAAGCACCCTGCTGCCATGTCCTGCAGTACCCGTGGGGGTACAGCAGCCACATTGCTGCCCGATATTGTTTCTGCTGTGTTTTCAGAGCTGAAGGTGCTTCGGGGAAGGACATGAGGAGTACTTTTTGTTTCAAAGGTGCCCTCGCCGTGGAAGGGCCGCTGCCCAAACACGCTGCCCTGGCCAATGCTCTGGGTGCTCTCAGAAGGATCGGGCGCAGTTTCGGTGGCAATGGTCATCCAGCCATTCTCCCCTACACTCGAGGTTTCCTCCTCATTACTGTCCCGCTCCTCCCCAGCACAATTATCAGCACCCAGCAGGGTGGAAGCCTCCTTTTCCCCTGGATTTCCAGACGACAGCGAGGCGGCCCAAACCATCGGCGTGCTGCTCTTCCTCCTCCTCGCCGCCGACCCTGCGGACACGGGGCTCAGCACATCCTCTATCACAGTCGCTTCCTGGGTTGTGCTCACCAGGTTTGCCCCAACATCCAAACCAGAGAAATTCGTCCAAGATCGCAGCGCTGGGGGCATTTCGCTGCTGATTTGCGGCTCGGCCTTTTCAAAGCGCTTTGTCCCCTCCTCGGGATCTGGTTCAGCTGACCGTTCCGTGGGGCTGGCGGCATCGGGATCGTCGATGAAAGCCATGCCCTCCGCCGCCACCGAAGCAAAGAAGTCCTCCTTCTTCGGTTCTGGTCTGAGCCTGCTGGTGGCAAAGGCATCGAAGGTCTCATCCCACTCTGAGAGGGGAGGAGGAGAGGCGGCGGGTTCCTCATCTGGAGGAGGAGGAGGGTCTGCATGGGACGGAGGAGTGGTTTCGGGCACGGGGACACCAACGCTTTTGGCTGGAGATTCTCCCTCCGGATCTTTAAGTCTTAGGGAGGCAGAGGGACTGCAATCCTCAGAGGAACACAAGCTCCCAGCGACCTCTGTTGAAGCATGCGGCTCAGACGGGAAACTAGAGAAAAAGTGAGTAGGTGAAGGAGAATTTAGTACCTGGTCAGCGAGGAGGTCCTCAAAGAAGGGATTGCTCTGCAGGGAGTTGAGGAATGGGTTGGTAGGGGACAAGCATCCGGGCTGACTGTCTCCGGTAGCAGGAGGGAGGTTAGGGCTCAGCATGCGAGCAAGATGGGCTACAGCAGCAGCAGGGAACCGGGCAGGGGAGCGGGAAGGAAAATGAGAAGGAGCATCTGAGCTGGTTTCTACCTGAGGAGACACTTCCAGGCTGTGGAGGGAAGACAAAACAGTCCTCCTGGTTAATGCTGTGACAGTGCTGTAAGCATACACCACACACACCACAAACGCTTTGATTCAAAGCAATGCAATGATAGATACATACTCGTCTCTCTTGTTAGGCAGAGCAATGATTATGGAGTCAATGCATGGAAAGGGCATGCACTACAAAAAGGAAAGGGCAGCCCTTCTCCAACTGTCCTCCAAACTTCCCCTTTCTGCCTTAGCAAGCCCTAAGCCTCAGGAGTCTGAGAGGTTTCTCTACCTCCTGCAGCCCAAGGACTTGGTTCAGTTCTGTGAGTTTCCCTGCATGTGAGGAGCAGCTGGGGTAAGAACACCCAAGAGTGAGCCTTCCAAATCTCTGGATATCAGCCCCCTCCTGCAGATGTCTCCTCACCTTGCCCCAGGCTGGGCTCCAGTCCTTCGCTGCTTTTCCAAGAGGGACCACATTTACCTGTCTTTCTTTTGTGACCTTCTCTGCCAATGCCTGTTGCCAGACCAGGGCTGGCCATCTTACCATCGAATAACCAGGTTGGAAGGGAACCACAAGGACCACCAACCCCTGGCTCTACACAGCACCACCCAAACCCTATGGCTGAGAGCAGTATCCCAATGCTCCCTGAGCTCCAGCCGTGACCACCACCGTCTGGGTCAGACCCCTTCCCTAATACCCAACTCCAATAGCAGCATTCCCTCCCCCTGAACCTCCTCCCCATGACTTACCCCTGCCAGCTCTGGATCATGCTTCACTTCATGGCAGGGCTTCAGAGAGACCCCACTTTAGCTTGGAGAAATGCAGACACCGATATGCCCAGTGCTGGCTGATCAAAGCTGAGCTCAGAACAAATGAAGCAATTGCTTTGCCAACACGTACAGGGAGTGAGCAGCCCTCAGGCTCCAGCCTGCTTGACCCAAGTTGGAAGGGATCACAGGCAGCACCACCAGAAGATCATGGCCAACGGCAAAGCTGCATGGACTATTTTTGCTTGTTATTACAGATGGTTTTGTCACAAAAAGATTTTTAAAGTATTTTAAAGCACAAAAATGCCACCTTGAGGCAAACATTAACAAACACCATCATCCACCTACAGCTGTGTCAGTTTTGTGCTCAGACAGCATTTGAAGGGCGTTTGTCTGTCTGCTGGCACGCAACAAACCAACTCCTACACCTTTCCATCTTTCCCATGACTCTCACAGTGATTTTGGGAGCTGCTGCCCCAGCTTAGGAATTTGTTATGTAGACCCTAAGCCACAAACAAGACCTCGAGGCGACGCTGGGCAGCACACAATCCTGACCTACTCCTGTTTGCTCCTTGCTCATGCTCACATTAATGGTTCAGTCCAGATTAAGAACCCTCATCCATCATTCTGCTTAACCAGTGTTTAGAAGGAGCAACCCACAGCTGATCCAAGCAGCCCTGCTGCCTTCTAGCATGAAGTCTCTACAGGGCATTAATCAGCTTGAGGCTCCTAATGAGCGCTCACCGCTAACAACCTTGACAGCTGCCAGAAGTCTGGCTGGAGAAATTCCTACCCTAGCCCACCAGATCCCCACCTGCACAGGTGGAGGAGGAGCTCCACAGTCTCTCCAAGCCCACGCTGGGCCCATTGGTACATGGGGACGTCCCATTTGGCAGCCTGCAGCTGTCCCCCAGCCTACACACGGATGCCAGCACCCAGCAAAGCAGGCTGAGCTGTGCCTCGGGGCACAAGAGGTGTGAGCATCCATCCCTAGCTGGAGGAAGCAAAGCAGAAGGGACGCAGCTTCTGGCTGCGGTGCAGGAGAACTGCAGCACCTCCATGTTGGCAGTGACACCATCCTGTAAGGCGCCGGCCTGAAGGCACAAAAGCAGAGCTCACGTCCTTCTTGATTTTAATCACCTGGCTTGATTCTCCAACCCAACCTCTGTCCTCGGGGTGAGCATCCCCTCCTGTTTAGCACCCCTGCCCTCCCCCCCCACAAACCCACCCCCCTCAAATCCCACTGCTTCATTCCCCCAGGGATGCTGGAAGCGCTCAGCGAAGGGGCTGAGGACGTTGTGCTCCTCTAGAGGGAAACCTCCGCTTGGATGGAGGATCTCTGCTGCAATGAAATGCTGACTCACCCTCCTCCTCCTCCTCCTCCTCCCAGATCCCTGCACGCAGCTCCGCCAGCCAAAATAAATAGCGGGTACCTTCCTGCCCTCATTTATTTTGCTGGCAGCACTTCACAGGCGCATTTTAGCCTCCCAGCAGAATGACGACAAAAGGGAAAAGAAAAAAAATAAAAAATAAAAAATATGACTGAGCAACTGCCTGATGGAAAGTCGCCTGGAAACAGCCTGTTTGATGTGGGAGGATCGAATCCGCAGCACACCGAGGTGAAGAGCTGGGGCTGATGGAAAATCCCACCCCTGCGTCCTAGGAGAGGTGGATGGGAAGACATCAGGCCAGGATTTCCGTGGATAATTCAGGCATCCTATGTAAGGTCCTTCCTGGGGGACTCCAGCATGGCAGGATTTGGGGCTGGGAAGAGATGAGCATTGCAACCCAGGACATGTTTGTATGAGGTGGGAGGCTGGGAGGGCCTGGAGGTGATGTGCAAGTGGAGCTTTTCAATAGGAAATGCACAGGTCGGGTTCTTATCCTAGAAGGAACCACACTGTTTTCCATCTGTCCTCACCTCTGTCATGCACACAGCTGTCCCCTCATCCTGAACAAGATGGGGACAGGCCCTACTTTATATGGATTTGCCTCCCAAACCATACAGATAACAATAACGAAAAGAAGGCAGGTTGGATGGGGCCCTGGGCAGCCTGGTCTGGTATTAAACGTGGAGGTTGGTGGCCCTGCCTGTGGTAGAGGGGTTGGAGCTTCATGGTCCCTGAGGTCCCTTCCAACCCAAGCCATTCTGTGAGAAGCAGAGGTAGGATGTGGGTACCAGGTGCAACAAGCAGGCACAGGTGCTATAAGAGCCATTCTTCACCCTTGCAAGGGCAACCCTAATGGCTCCCAAGATGGATTTTAGTTTTCAGCCTCACTGCTGGCCACACAGGACCAGCAACAACCACAGCAGGCAACAGTTTTATGCTTTCCTCCCCTGAAAGCAATGACAGAAGGAAAAGGCTTTAGCCTTGGAAGGGCTTTAACATGCAAACAGGCTCTTTTCTGCCTCTTGCCAAGCATGAGATGCAGCCCCATTTTATCATCCCAACTCACGCCGGAGGCAGCAGGACCTGCGGTGCTCTGATAACATTGTAGGAAAGCCTGAAAATATGGGAAGGGATTGTTTTCGCCCCAGGCCTTGCCTCAAATAAGCCTGCTGAGCTTCTTCCTTGCACACAACCCTTGAGCATGTCACCTGAAGCACAGCAAACCCCACAGAGCCTTTCCTTCAGGTCTCCAAGAGCAGACAGCACCCACCTCCCGCTCCCACCACGAATTCGGAGCTGCTCTGCTCTACAAAGCAAAGGTTAATCCATCCTCAGACTCAGAAGTTATGCGGGTAAATGAGTAGCAGCCTTGCTTCTCCTCCAGATGATAAGCAGATAAGCGCTGCTGGCTTTTCAGCAGCACGCTTGGGAGGGAATATGCATCTGATTATTGAGATACAGATTTCAGCCATCGAGATGCAATCAACCTCTCAACAGCTTCGAGCTGAATCGGTCTGTGAGGTCTCCCGGTGTAAGGAAGGAGAATGAAGTAAAAGAAGTACGAGTTCTTCACGATCAGAATGAGAAATGATGTTGGAATCGCTGGTTTGAAGGAGCTCAAGATCCACAAGATCCTAAAAAAATCACAGAATCCCATAGAATTGAATGATCAAGAAAGAAAGTTCCAAAAAGAGGAACTAATGGGCATCCACCTCCCAGCCTGGGCCAAGAGCTGAGCCAACAGCTTCTGCAGTGCTGCCCAAAGGTGCTCATCCACTGCTACACCAAATCCCACAGCGCTGGGGCTTAATGCTCCCCATCAGAGACTTCTCCTTATGTCTCATTTCAGTCTCCCTCGTTACACTTTCAGCTCATTACTCCCCATCTTAAAATTGCCAAGTGCAATTAAAGCCCATTCAGACTTCAGAAGATCCCAGAAGGATCCCCTGGGAATCTCTTCCTTCCAGAATGTATTGTTTCAAAGGAAATCCTATCCTGAGCACCAAAACACACAGCTGGTGGCTCATCCAGGCTTCTCCTTACAAGGCAGAAGAGCTGTATGGAGAAGCCTGCAAAGAGGCATCCAAAAAGCAGAGCCTAAGCAAACCTTGGGTACTCTGACGACCCTGAATCTTTGTGGGTGAAGGCAGTGACTCTGTTGGCTCACATCTGAGCACTTTACCAGCAGCAGAGCTCACACACGGATCCCATTACGTAGAAGAAGCCTGAAAGACCTCTTCGTTAAAGAAGGCTTAGGCTGAATGAAAATCCTTCTGCTTCATAAATTAGGTTAAAGTCAGCCCAGATGAGGAAATCCCTACAACAAAAGAACCTTCTGGATCCAGGCAGACTGCTGGCTCTTACAGCCTCGTGTTCTCCCTCTCCCTGAGCAATGAAACCCTGCACTGCGCTCCTGGTGAGTGCCTGCATCGCAGCACAGCCCATTCCCACTGCACACCAAGGCACGTGGAGCTGCACCTCTGCACAGGGATACACCTCCCCTTCACAAGCCATGGTTAAGGATAAGCACAGTGGGTTTGGGAGGATCCAGGATGAAGCACCCTCCCTTTTACAAGTGCAGGGTCGAGGAGGCATTTCCCCTGCTCTCATCTCATCTGGGCAGCACTGGGCAGCTGGAGAACAGCTGGGTGCCCACAGCCCCATTTCACTGACCTGGGTTTCTGGGGGGAGTCTTTGGGCTCCTTGGAACCAAACCAGCCTCCAGCCTTGCTCCTGTCATCTCCCACTGCTGCAGGGCCGTGCGAGGCTCCGGTTTTCTCCCCCTGGCCCCTGCTCCCCGCATCACTCTTGTGGAACAGCCCGCCCTTTGTTTTCTTCTCTTCTTTCCTCATTTCCTCGGGTTGCTTCTCCTTCGTCACCTCTGCAGAGAAGACCATGGGTGCTGCCACCTGGGTCGGCTTGTTCTCCAGGCGGCTGTTTTCTTCCATCCTGGCTCTGCCCAGGTGGTTGCTGAGGGTCACGGCTTTGGTGGACACCTTGAGCTCTTCCTGCAAAACCAAGCTGGGAGGAGAGGGGATGAATCTCATCTCGTCCCTTTGCTGCGTCCTCTCCAAGCTGCCGGCCCCCCAGGGCACCTCGTGGGGGTCGGCGTGGATCGGGATGAAGCCAAAACCCTCCTCTGGCCTTTTGGGGACAGGCAGCGGAGTGGAGCCCTGCGGGGTGGGCACGGGGCTCCTCAGGGTGGGCTCATCACTGTACACGTGGCTCCCATTGATGCAGAGGGAGGAGCGGGACACGGGATCTGTCTTTGGCTTCAGGCTGTGGATTGCTTTCGGCTCCAGGACAGGGCTGACCTGGGAGACGTCGTCACTGAACGCTCTCTTGTGGGTCAGCTTCGGAGAAGGTAAAAAGTCCTTCACTGCAGGGAGAAAGCACAAGGCTGGGTGAGGCCAGCTGTGTAATGGGCACAGCAAGCTTCACCTACTAAAAAACACTGATGAGAGCTGCAGAATTACACCAGCTTTTCCCCTCCCAGGCTCTACTCAACTATAATTAAATTAAGAGGGAGATAAAGCACAGGTCATAAAGCATGCGGCTCTACAAGGCCGTACATCTCCCCAAGCACATCTCTTCAAGATCCAGAAAGCAGTAAGGTGAAAACCACTGTCAGAGAGGGTCTGAGGGCTACAATGAACGCAGGGATCTGGCCAAAAGAAGCCGAAAATCACAGACAGGCCCTTGGGCTGCTGTGTGGTGCAGTAAGGAAGGTCCGTGCCATTCCTCCCTCTTCTCTCTCCTGATGAAGTTTTCAGCACATCCCAGTGCTCGGTACCCTGGGACTCCCGCCCCATCCGGGAATTGGCAGTCTCCAGCCAATTAAACCATGTAATGATAGATTTTGTTTTCAAGGGACGGCGAGAATTAATTCTTGACAAGAGCCTTTTTTGTTTGCAAATCATCGCTCTGCCAGCGCCAAGAGCTGGGATTGCTTTAATCACCAGCAAGCGGTCCCTGCTCCAGCTCTGCCCCTGCCCCAGCTCTGCCCCTGAGCCGGAGGCGGCTCATTAGGCACAAGGAGCTGCTCTTTGCCACCTGCTCTTGTAGAGCAGAGGAGAAACAGCCCCAAGTCACCCCTACACCCCACAGTGGTGCAAAGCAGCCAAGCAGGGCTGTCTGCACGCAGCCTTGGCATTCAAAGCCAAATCTTGGATGTTTTCCCCCCCGTTCTTGGCAGGCAGGCAGATCTCAGAGGGTTCGTGTAGGACACCGCCTCTTAGGTAAGCAATCAGTGAAGAAATTTGCAAGAGAGCCCCCACAACCCCTTCAAAAAACAGAAAAGAAAGGTCAAACGGGTGGGATTAACGCCACCATCCTCTTACCGGAGCGCTCCGTGGACAGACTGCTGTGTCTGCTGGGGGACCTGGTTACCTCGGGGCCGCTGGTGGCCATGCCCAGGCTGGCTGATGAGACGGTGCTGTCGGATCCCAGCGAGGTGTTGGACTGCGTTAGGGACGACTTGCGCAGCTTGTTCTTCAGGAAGAAGCCCTTCACTTTGGACTTCTTGCCGCCGACGTCGTAATCGTCCTCCATGTCGAGCGCGCCCACGCTGCTGGGGATGATGGCAGAGGCCGACTCCAGGTCGTACTTCTTCTTGCCCTTCATCTTGTCCTTCAGCTTGCCGAAGGGTGACCGCGGTTTGTCCTTCATGGACAGGTCGAACATGCTGGCCGTGAGGTTGTTGCGTGTGAACTGGATGCTCACCTGGATCTCACCACGTTCCTTCTCCTTCTTGCCGGGCTTGGAGTGCAGCTTGTGCCACCTGAAGACAGAGAAAAGATGAGGAGAGGGCTCTCCATCAGTGCTTTGTGATGGGTTTTGCAATATTTGAGAGTCGGTGAGTCAGAATCCATCCTCTCATATGGGAGTCTGCACTGTCATAGCAAAGGAGCTCAATAGTTGGATATTAGGAAATATTTGATTTCAGGTTAATTGGAAACATTTTCTTCTCAGGCATTGGAACAGGCTGCTCAGGGAGCTGGAGGAGTCAGCATCCCTGGAGGTGGATGGCACTCAGGGACATAGCTGGTGAGCACTGTGGGGATGGACTGATGATTGGACTTGATGAACTTAGAGGCCATTTCCAACCCTCATGAATCCATGGTATTCATTAAAACAACGATTCCAGTGATGGCAGAGGATCACAGAATCACACAACGGTCGGGTTGGAAGGGACTCCAAAGCCCCACAGCCCCACTCCTGCCATGGACTGAGTGCCCCCACCAGATCAGGCTGCCCATGGTCCCATCCACAGCCTTGGGCACCTCCAGGGACCCACAACTCAAAGGGCACCCGGGCACAGAGCCGTGCTGCAGGATGGCAGAGGGCTGTTGCCTGTTGCTAGCTGAAACAAATGGTGCAAACGAAAGCAAGAAACACCCAGAGGAACTCATTTCTACATTCCACTTCCCTAATTCCCCACAGCAGCAGGTTCAGACGGGGCAGCACAGCGCTGGGCCAGAAGGGAAGCATCTCTTCCTGAAATAACCGCCTCGCACCGCGGACCCAGCACCCTTCCCTTCACAGGATAGGATGAGCTCCCTGGGGCCCCAGATAACAGCACTGTAAATTATCAGCAGGCTGCAAAACAACATGGAGACCTGCTTGGTCTAAGCCAAGATTTCCACCCAGAATGTCAGAGCAGCGCAGGGTGAGACAGCTCCGATGGCCCCAACACCCAGCCTGGGGATCTGCAACAACAACAGGAGCAGGAAGGCATTTTTAGAGGTGTTCTAATAATTTCCAACTGATTTCCCAACCACTAAAAAATCCCTGCCGTGTTTTAGGCTGTTAAAAGAGTTTGCTTAGAAGAGCAAAGTCACCAGAAAGGAAAAAACAAGGGGAGGAAAATGTGAAGCGTTGGAGACGGGTGTAACCCTGCTGAAATCATAGGAGCGAGGAGGAAATCCAAACCACGTCCTCAATTCCCCATTCAGGAGCCACTGAGGAGCGCCCATGACTTTGCTGGGCACAGGCTTTGAGCCCATTCTGTCCACTCTCATAAATGGGGAACAATTCTCAGCACCCAAGCGTTAGGCTTGAAAAAAAAAAATCAGAGAATGGTTTGAGTTGGAAGGGACCTCAAAGATTTCCTGGTTCCAGGAATGCAGGAAGATAAGGAAAAAGCAGATTTGTGGCTGACTCCTGGAATGGGAGAAAACTTCACGAGCAGGTTTCGTATCTGACATCATCACCCCATGGGGAAAACAGAGAGGGAGAACTTGGGATGAATTAACATGGGGAAAGGCATCTGAGGATGATGAGATGTAAAACCCCATCTCACATGGACACGCTCACAGCATCCCCCACTTACCACACCGCACTCATTACAATTAATTTGGCTGCTCGGTAATGATGCCTTCAAATGAACAAGCTCTAAACCTGCTCTGCTTCTAAAAGTGTCCATTCCAGAACAGCCTCTGCCCAGGCTGGCACCGGATGAAGGAGCTGCGTGGGGTTCCCAGCACCCAACAGGTCAGGACTGCACCCCAAAAAGGGAGATGTGCTATTTTTAGGCAGGGCTCAAAGTTCAGGAGATGAGTATTTGGGTGGATCACGTCTCTCCACGTCTCATGGCTGCTGTTCTTTTCATTTAAATCAATTCCAGTGAAGCTACAAATGCACCCAGAGCAGGATCGGGATGGGTTTAAAGAAGAACACAAGCTGCTGATGGGCCTGTTTGCTCTTATGCCCACCCCAAGAGGGATTTCATAGAATCGTCACGGTTGGAAAAGACCTCCAAGATTTGCAGAGGGGAGGAGGAGTTGTGGATGCTCCATCCCTGGAGGGACTCAAGGCCAGGCTGGATGGGCTTTGGGCACCTGGTCCATGGGAGGAGTCCCTGCCCATAGTTGGAACTGGATGGGCTTTAAGGTCCCCAACCCAACCCATGCTGTGATTCTACACTGAGGGAGCTGGGATGGCTCAGTCTGGAGAAGAGGAGGCTCAGAGGGGACCTCAGAGCTCCCTGGAAGGAGGTGAATGGCTTCATCCTTGCACAAGGGGAGAGCCAGGCTGGGAATCAGGAAACATTTATTGTCCAGAAGAGCGGGCAGGCAGTGGCACAGCTGCCCAGGAGTGGTGAGGTCACCATCCTTGGAGGTGCTCCAGAACTGTGGGGCTGTGGCACTGAGGGTCAGAGGGCAAGGTGAGATGGGTTGGGGATCTCAGAGGCCTTCTCCAACCTTAACGATTCTATGCAAAATTAAAACGAGCATCCCAGTGGCTACAGAGACACCCAGCTCCAGTGGCATGCATGGGAGGAGGCAGCAGCCTGCCCAGCACAGGGCTGAGAGAGGAAATCACAAACAGAACTCCACGCAGATGCCCCACAAAGGGGAAACAGTTGGGGCCCCGCCGGGCTCTCGGGAAGCCAAACAAGCAAACACCAAACACCCATCAGCATCGCCCGTGTGCTCACATGGGTCCCCACCATCCAGCACGGCTAAAACCCCTTGCTTATGCAAAGGCTCTGCTCCACTCCCACTCACCTCCACCAAGAGACAAGGAGAGCTGCCAAAAGGCAGCAGGAGCACAGTGCTATTTTCTGCTGCTGCTGCTGAGATCGATGGGAGCGGAGCGCAAAGCGCTGCCGTGGCTCGAGGCCCCCGCAGGGCACGCGTTTCCCCCCCATCTGCTGGCAGAAAGTGCTGAGCAAAGGGAAAACACACCCTGGGGTGGAAATGGGAGCGGAGGAGACACGGAGCCGTCCCTTAATGCAAAGGCAAAGCTGACTGTGGAGAAGAGATCCCACAGAGCCCCGCGTCTCCTGTCCCTTCTGCACCCCCACCAGCACCAAACCACGCGCTGAGCCGAAGCGCCCAACCCATCGCCATCCCCTTGGGTACCTCCAGCAATGCCTTCCCAGTTTCTCTCCCAGACTGGACCCGGTGCTTTGCTAGCAGCAGGCTGCACAGAGCTTCCTGGGGTGCCGGAGCCACTCAGTAAGGCGCAGCTTTAGGGATGCACTTGGGGTTCACCTGGAATGAAGCTCCTGCCTGAGCTGCAGCTCGGAGCAAGGGACAGACAGAACCCTCTCCGCCTCTCATTTACTGCTGAATCACCCTGCAACAAGCTCAGCCCTGCTAATGAGAGGTCTTTAATTAGTGACAACTTCAACAGAGAGCCAGGGATGGGCAGGTGAGGAAGAGGAAACCCAGGGAAACCCCAAACGTCTGCAGAAAAAGACACCATTGGGGCCACAAGGGGAACGGCACAGAGGCATGGAGGAAGCTCCATATCAAGAAGAGAAGCAAAGGGTGGAAAACAGCACAGCCCCCCGGGCTCGCAGTCCGACCTTGTTTTGATGCAGCTTCCCCCACTGGTGCCGGGAAGCTTTTCTGCTGCGTCGGTTCCTTTGGTGTTGGTTTTGGACAGGCTGCTCTGCACGGCGATCCCCGTGAGCTGCTCAAAGCACAGCTTGAAAATAAACACGGGCTGAAGGAAGGAAGGGAACTCGGGAGACTGAATTCAGCCTGACAAACGGTCCTCTAAGAGGCCTCAAAGCTTCCACTCCAGCCCCGTGTCGGTGGGCTGAGGGTGCAGGGTGGCACGGAGGGGACAAAGACAGGAGCAAGGCAGGCTCAAGGGCTGGAGAAGAGCTATCAGCAGCACTGGCATGAGGACAACCACAGGCAGCTTCACTGCAAATCAGCTTAAAGAGATGAGATGAAAGGTTTTCCCCCATCAGAATCACAGAGGTTGATGAAGACTTCTAAGATCACCGACCCCAACCACCAACCCCTCACCACTGTGCCCACTAACCACATCCCTCAGTGTCACATTGACCCTAGGAAGAGGACGGGCGGGGAGATTCAAGGAGCTGTAAAATGGAGCATGAAACATTTATGAATGAAGAGAATAACAGCAAGAGACAGCAGAGCCCTCGTTAACTGCTTATGCTCCAGAGCTCCCACGGTTTGCAAATCCAAGCAGTAGATGAGCCAAAAAACCATTGTGCCCACGATCACCATACGCCCTGACCTGTTCTGCCAGCCTCAAATGCATAAAGAAAAGGAGAAAATGAGGCCCAGCTTGGTGGGATGCAAAGCATGGGTGACGGCACAGGGCTGCTCGGCAGGTTTCCCTGCTGCACTGGCTGAGCAGGAGGTGGAAACGGGTGCAGAGAAGAGCGTGATTTGCTGTAAATCCTCTTCTAAAGAGAAGGGCTGGCAGGGAGAACCATGCAACTCAAAGCACCCCAGGCTCAGGAACTGAGGGAGCAGCTCAGACGAGAAGAAACTCCAACCCCACATCCCTGCTGCAAAGACCTGATGAAGAAAGCCAACCCTCATGGTTGCTTGCACGTATCTCTAGGCTCCAACAAGACATGGGGAGCAACAAGAGACACCAGCAAAGGTTTTAAAGCTGCTTTCACTCAGCAGAAATGTGCAGGAAAGGATTTGAGGACTTTTTGGACTCCTCTTGCTTAGAAAACCCCATGCAACAGTGATACAGACCACAACCCACACCAGCAGAGCACTCAGTGATGGTGCCAAAGAACGTTTACGGTGTTTTCAGGGCCTCCTATGGGTTTTTCCTGTAGCTGCCAGGGGAAAACCATTGCTGGAGGCAGGGAGAGCTGTACAGATGAGTGCAAAGTGGAGGAAGGAGACTGTGCCTGCAGTTCTTTGGCTGTCAGGGGACAGAGGGACCTTGGGAGGGCCACCAAGAGTCCAGAGCCAACGTGCCAGTCTTCACCCAGGTTGGGGATTCCAACTACATCAATATCTTTAAAAAAAGAAAAGAAAACAAAACACAACCTGAGCTTGAAGAGAGCTCACACCCCAGCACCTGCAGCTCTAATGTGCTACATGGCCAACAGGGCTGGGTGTGGAAATGGAGGTGGGCAAAGAACATCCAGCCCAGAACAGAACAGGGCAATGAAGCTCCTAAATTTGCCAGGGAGATGGCAGGGTCACCGTCCCTGGAGGTGCTCCAGAACCATGGAGATGTGGCACTGAGGGATGTGGTCAGTGGGCACGGTGGGATGGATTGGGGGTTGGGCTTGGAGATCTTAGAGGCCTTCTCCAACCTTCTTGCTTCCCTGATCCTAAATCCAATCAGGGTGAGAAGGGGCAGCCTGGGTAGCACCCCAACCCAAGCAGTGGGGCACGAACCGCCCTCCTTCCATTGCCCTGAGGCATTTCAACACAGCACAGCACTTCCTGCGTTGGCCAAGCGACCGAGATGCAGCAACCCCTCAGAGAACCAAAACAAGGATTTCGTCACAGCCTGCCACACCTGAGCAGATCCCATTACCCTCGGCCAACCCAAGACCCCACTTTCACATTTCTCACCTCCCAGACCATCTTCAAGGCCAGGACCTACAGCTGGGGATGGACAGACTGCGATGGAGCCTCAGCGTGGATTTGGGGACTGTCCCTTGCCTCCAAGTGGGGTTGCCTTAAGGTCCCCATCTGTTGAGCAGCACACAGAACCACGGACAGAGGTGACAGACCCCATGCAGGTCTCTTTCATCACCCCAAATCCATCCCAAATTCACAGCAAGGTCCAACCTGCATTGGCTCGAGGGCTTTGACCAAAGACGTTGGCAACCAGAGGAAAGGTGGGTGCCACCCAGGCACAGAGAAAGGGCTGGAGGGGACCTGTTTGTCCAAAACGTGGATACAAATGATAAAAGCCAACTACTCCCCACGGAGAGCATCCCAACCTGCAGGCACCCACCAGCCAAAAATCCACACCATCACAGTCAACGCAGGAAAAGCTCAACAGGGTTAAAGCCATGACTTAAAAATAAAAGCACTGCAAGTCACGGCTGCTGCCGCATTGCCAACCCGAAGCTTTCTAGCTTGGGTTAAGCCCAAGGATACCAAAAAAGGCCAGGAGACACCCAAAAAGTCCACGAGAGCCCTCTTAGGCAAAACCAAGAGCTGACTTTTCCCCTCCCAGACAAACATGTTGCCATTCAGCTGATAAATGCTGCCAGACGCACCCAGCCTCGCTCCGTGACACGGGGCCAAGTTGGACGGCGCATTTTCCACTGAGCTGAAAACACGAAGAAAAAGCACTGCTGACAAAGTTTCCACCCAACAAAAATCAGCAGTGAAACGAGAGCAAGGTCACCACGCTGACAACCAAGGCCTGCTTTGTTGCTTTTTCTATTTTTGTATGATTTTTTTTCCTCCTCTCCTCTGGGCTGCGTTCAAGCTGGCAGCAGCTTTGTGCCTCCAAGCAAGGGATGCAGATGGGGCCCTGCAAACAAAGGGGTGCAAGAAAGACCCCCCCCTTAGCACCCAACCCAGAAGGACTGCAGCCCCAAAGCTGCAGCATTCCCCATTTTTGGGGATATCTGCCCAAATCCCAGCTGTGCCAATGTGGGATGCAGCCTGCGAGCTCCTCGCACCCCAAAACCCCGCAGCCACTCCCCACGCACAGCCTGGCTGCAGGGAGCCACGGTGCTGCTCTGCATTAGGGCAGAACTGAAGATCTGGAGCTCGTTTTCCAGCCAGGGTTAATAGAAATCAAAGCAAAATTAATGCTGGGGGGGGAACAGCCAAGTGGCAGCCCCCAGGGCTGTCCCCTCAATTCCCATTTTGGGGCTGGGAAGAGTGGGTTGCAGCTGGGAAGAAGTCAGGGGAAAGCATGCAATCCACAAACCCACGGCACAGCATTATGGGGGGACAGAGCCCACGGGGCCTTTTTTGGGGTACAGAGGGTCCCCGTGATGCCCTGTTCTCTGTGACACTCTTATTGGGGCCCATAAGGGCTCCACGATGCCCCATTCCTTGCAATACACTTCTGGGACCATGCATGGACCCTCTAAGACCTCCACCTTTTGCAACCCCCCTCATGGGACACACATGGACTTCACGACAGCCTTAGGAGGGCCCACATCAATGAACCCTGTGACACCCATCTCCTTTTAGGGGCAAGCAAGGACTCTGTGATGTCCTATTCCTTGTGAGGCCATGCGTGGACCCTGTGACCCCTCATCTCCCTTCCAGGAGCCCAAATGGACCCAATGACACTCAATCTTTAGCAACTCCCTTCCTGGAAGCACGAAGAGACCTCACACGGACCCAGTGACATCCTATTCCCCATGACACCCACTGGGGCTCTATGGCCCCCGTGACACCCTATATCCTACAAATGCCTTTTTGGGGCACAATGAGGCCCCATGGAACCCTACTCTTTGCGACACCCTTCTGGGGCCATACATAGACTCAATAACAACCCATCTCCTACAATTCCCCTCTTGGTGCACAAAGAGACCTCATGACATCTTATCCTCTCTGACAGCCTTACAAAGGCCCACACGAACCCCACAACACCTCATCTCCTTTTTTGGGGCAGAAAAGGACCTCACGATGCCATATTCCCTGTGACACCCTTCAGGGACCACGCATAGAGCCTGTGACACCCCACTTCCTACAAGTGCCCTTTTCTGGGCCCAGGTGAATCCCATGACAGCCCATCTCCTGCAATCCCCTCCTGGGGGTATGAAGAGACCCCTGCTTCCTATGACATCTTTATGAGGGCCCATGCAGACCCCACGACACCCCATACCCTTCCCGAGCCGCATAAGGGCTCCATTACGTCCCATTCTTTGTGATATCCAACGAACGGACCCCGTGACACCCCATCTCATACAAACACCTTCCCAGAGCACGGAATCCTATAGAACATCATAGAACCACAGGATCCTCAATGCCTCCAACCCCCTCTTGTGATCCACACAGACCCAACGACACCCTATTCCCAATGACAGCCCGACAGACGCCACATCCCGAGGCACACAATAACTCCACGACCCCCAATTCCCCGTGACAGCCTCACACAGACCCCCCCTCCCCCCCCCCCCCAGACACCCTCTCGGGGGCCCACGCGGAGCCCCTTTACGGCTCAGGGAGCCGCTCCGCCCCGCTCACCTCTCCTCGGCCGCCCTGCCCTGCAGCCCCGCAGCCCGCAGCGGTACCCGGGCCATGCCCAGAAAGCGGTCCATGCCCACCAGGGCGCGGTGCATAACGGTGAGCAGCAACGCGGCCTCAGCCCCGGGCTCGGTGGGCGGCAGCTCGAAGGCGCATTCCTCCTTCCATTCGGGGCAGCCGCCGCTTTTCTCGGCCACCGAAGTGCAGTACTTCTCTCGGCCCAGCTGGATGATGGTATACGCGTCGCTGCTGCCCGCTTTGCCCCCACCGCCGCCGCCCTTACAGCGCAGCCCCCGGGCCCGGACCACCGTCACCTGCACGTGGGTGGGCAGCCAAGCCGGGGGGCCGTCGGCGGGCAGCGCGGCGGCGCGGAGCAGCGCCATGGCCGGGAAGGGATAGAGAGCGGCCGGACTGGGCCGAGCCTCAAATCCGCACCGCTCCGCTGCGCTGCCGCAGCCGGGCCGCAACGCGACCGCCGCACGTCCCGTCCCGCCCCGCCCCGCCCCGCGGCAGCCACGCCCATAAAGCCACGCCCACCAAAACGCCTCTCCGAACTCCGCGCTCTTCACGGCCGCAACCATGCGGCCTCGTTCTAAAAGACCCCCATAAGCCACGCCCCCAGTGTAAAAAGCCACGCCCCCTTTGCTATAAGCCACGCCTCCTCTTATCCACGTCCCCGTTTGCCTCGCCGTCATTCTAAACGACGCCCCTTTGTGTAAGCCACGCCTCCTTGACTAGACAGCCACGCCCCCTCCTCCAAAGCCACGCCCCCCTCCGCTCTGCACGCTGCCCGCTGCGCTGCGCAGAGCTGTGAAGGAACGCGCCGGGCTTTGCAAGCAGCCAGCTGTCCTGCGCTGCGTTCTGTTGCGCCGTGCTGCACGTGCACCCGTGCTGTGAATGCAGTGTGATGTGCACGGGGCTGTGCGTGCATCACGCTGTGCATGCACGAGGCTCTGCACCGTGCTGTGGGCACCCCGTGCTGTTACTGCACCTGCTATATGTGCACCAGGCTGCTCTGCAGTGTGCTATGCACGCACTGTGCTGTGCGCAGAACGGTGCGTTTGCACCTCTTTGTGCACCGTGCTGTGCTGCGTCAGGTTGTGCGTGCACCTCTTTGTGCACCGTGCTGTGTGTGCGCCATGCCATGCACGCACCAGGCTGCAAAGATCCCAGCTGCATGGGGTTTGCACTGCAGAGCGCTGTGGGATGAGGGGGGACACAGCAGAGCTCCCACTGCAACCCAATGAGCATCAGGGTGCAGTCAGCATGTGGGCAAAGCACCTGGGGGTGATGTTTGCTGTGCTGGGGCTGTGCTGCAGGGTGTGCACTGTGTGTGCACATGGATGTGTGTGAATATACGTGCACACATGTGGCTGTGTCCATGTGCACGTGTGCCCACGCTTGCTATGTGTGCACGTATGTGCGTGTGTCTCTGCACAGCTTCCCTTGGCTTTAAACTCATTTCCCACGCAGCAGCCGGGGCAGGCAGCCCAATGCACCCGGACCGGCTCCTAATAAGCAATTAAAAACCTCCCCAACGTCTCTAATAAGTTCCCCGGCCCCTGCAGCAAGGTCACAGCCAAACGTTGCTCCTCGGGGCCCTTTGGGTGCTATCACACAGCGATCACAGCGTGCTGATGCCATTGAGATAAGGGCAGGGCCACGGGGCAGCGCAGCGGGGCTGCAGTGCTGCTCTATCGGCACCATCGGCGTTCTGCTCCACCGCGGGGACACGGCGGGGACACGGCGGGGCGGGGTGAGAACCCACAAGGGGATCAATGGGGACACTGTGTGGAGAGAGTGGGACATGGCGGGGATGTGATGGGGACACAGGGGGAAAACAGAGGGGACACAATGGGGACACGAGGGGGACATAATTGGGATGTGATGGGGATGTGGTGGGGACACAGGGGGAAAACAGTGGGGACATGATGGGGACATAATTGGGACACAATGGGGA